ACTGCGGGGAACTCTGCAAAAAACGCATCTTCGCACGGGCAGCCCGTGCGTTAGCCAATTATTTTTGTTCTGCCTTGTCAAGCCAACATTATGTCGCGGATTAGTTGCTTTCACGTTTTTACTGCGAATTTGAATCTTAGGGTTTGGCAGCACTGTGTCTGAAGGAACCGTCGGAAATGCTTATTCGTGTTTTATCGCAGGTGGATAGTTTTACAGCTCCGTTATCGCTTTGGCTTGGTCTGCCTGCTGCACCGCTCATTGTAAGCCTTTATTATTTGGCATTCATTAGTGAAATTGGAGTGGTTAACTGCAACGTAGACTGCGCCATATGTTACTTACTTTATATCTTTGGTCGTTAATGAACATCTCTTTCAGACCCTACATCGAACGATTGAGAATTTTAAGCCATCATATCGAGAGAAACTGGATACGTTGCCATGGTGGATTGCGTGTCAGCATTTGTCGGCTTCTAGGATCACTGATATCATCGAAAATGCTTACTTCTTGGTTAGTACCGCTTTGCCCATATTTTAACTTTTTGATAGCAAAGTGATGTCGCTTATTACAGAGCAAAGTGATGCTCCGAGGCTTGTCGTCTTTCCCACAAATCGAAATTCTCGGTGTTGAAAATCCAGCGGAATTTGCGAATCGTGTTTATAAAGGCAGCTATGCACCGCTTACAGTCCTGATTTTCAAATACAAATATCCGGAGCTGGAAGAAGCCAAAAAAGTAAGGTTTAGTTTCCCAGTAAAATAAATATTATTTGTATTAGTAATAAAAAGCATAAACCATATAACAATGTCTTTTGCTCCAGAATAAATTATCACTCGGGGATGAACGGAAGGCAGGCCCATGCCTCATCGTCCAAGCTTTTCATAGTTTCTGTCGTGGTGGTATTTTGTTAGCTTAAGTGGAAACGTGCTTCGAATCTATTGACGAAAAAATTAACCACGATGTGGTTGTGCTGGAAAGGGGTGACGCGCGGATGCAAAGCGCCGTCGCTGACAAAAGAAGAAAAATTATCAATGGTTAGGACGAAGAGAGCTCTACTGACTGAAGGCTTACCCGGAAAGTTGCTTCGATACCATATAAACAGCGTGTCTACCTCATGAGCGGCGTACAGGATATTATTGCGAAAAAGAGGGGAAGTAGAATCTAGCGAGTGCGATACACTGCTTACTTTTCTAACATATGGCAAACTTGACATATCAACCATTGTCCAGTGAAAAACCCCCGCTCGAACGGTCTTTATGGAGGTAGCACTCATGTGCAGTGCAAAAGGTGAGTGTTTGCGGGGGGCGTGAGCTGCGAAGGACGCAGCGTATTGAAGCCTGGCGTGTAGGTGCCTCCAGGAAGACAACGA